CACCTCACCACACCTCCATCTCCACCCAACACCACCTAACGAACCTCACACTCCACGACTCACACCCCACACTACCACCCTCCAACCTCCACACACACCACTACCACCGTCCATCCACCGAACTCAACACACCTACTACCACCCTCCACTCACCCACAACACACACTACCACCTCCATTCCACCCAACATCACACACTACCACCCTCCACTCACCCAAACACACACTACCACCCTCCATTCCACCCAACACACACACTACACCCTCCGACTCCACCCAACACACACACTACACCCTCCACTCCACCAACACACACACACTACCACCCTCCACTCCAACCACACACCACTACCACCCATTCCACCACACAACCACACTCCCACCCTCCACTCCACCCAACACACACTCCACCCTCAGCCTGCACCAACACACACACTACCACCTCCACTCCACCAACACACACACTACCACCCTCCACTCCAACCAACACCACACACTAACCACCCTCCACTCCACCACACACACACACTACCACCTTCCATCCACCCAAACACACACACACTACCACCTCACTCTCACCCAACCACACTACACTACCACCCTCCACTCCACCCAACACACACACACACACTACCACCCTCCACTCCACCCAACTGGACTCATCAGCAGTGTGCTGCTATCATCTTCTAGATAGAGAGAGCAAAAGCCAGCTATGTTTCCCAATAATACTCCGTCACGCAGGATGGATCACATACATAATGTTGAAATCTGTCAGCCTGAGCTGGGAGACTTCAGCAGCATCAGCCTGAGCTGGGAGGCTTCAGCAGCGTCAGCCTGAGCTGGGAGACTTCAGCAGCGTCAGCCTGAGCTGGGAGACTTCAGCAGCGTCAGCCTGAGCTGGGAGACTTCAGCAGCGTCAGCCTGAGTTGGGAGACTTCAGCAGCATCAGCCTGAGCTGGGAGACTTCAGCAGCATCAGCCTGAGCTTGGAGACTTCAGCAGCGTCTGCCTGAGCTTGGAGACTTCAGCAGCGTCAGCCTGAGCTTGGAGACTTCAGTAGCGTCAGCCTGAGCTGGGAGACTTCAGTAGCGTCAGCCTGAGCTGGGAGACTTCAGCAGCGTCAGCCTGAGCTAGAAGACTTTAGCAGGGCAATGAGGATATGATCAAGTATACCACTGTTCATCAGCTACGGGAGTATCAAAGGTTTCTCTCCAGTAGAGAAGCTTATCCTCAGACCCCTTACCCCTTGGTGATGGGTCAGTGGGAGACGCTTCTCTCCCAGCTCGTCCGCTAAGATCCTACTCCAAGCTCCCACATGAAGGGATACTTTATATCTCCTAACTTTTCCTTAAGATAGCCCTCCAGCCTCCAGCACTCCTTACCCGTCCTCAAATTCCTTAATACTTCTTCCTTCAGTAAATTGACTCCTTGGATGGAGCTATGGGTAGAACAGGAATCCCTGTCGTGTATTAACATATACGTATCACTGTAGTGTAGTAACATACAGACTTTACTGTGGTGCAGTAACATACAGGCATCATTGTGGTGCAGTAACATGCAGGCATCATTGTGGTGTACTAACGTAGAGGTATCACTGTAGTACAGTAATATACAAAGCATCACTGTGGTGGTGCAGAAACATACAGACATCATTTGGGAGCAAAAACATACAAGCATCATTCTGTAGGAAGACAACCGCACTGGGATCATCGCTTCATTACCTACATGGTTCCAGGAATATAAATTTTCAGAAGACGTTTTCTTCCTGCACCAGAGGGTGGGAGGCCGTAAACTGCGGTCCACATCATCCGCTGAGCATCGCTTCCCACCACACAATATTGTGGAGTGAAGAGAGCGAGAGCATAACACGCTGGGAGGGACGGGCCCAGCAAGATTGTGTATGACAGTGTGAGGGAGAAAAAGCAGCAGGTACTGCGAGTGTATACTGCACATTGTGCAAGCAATAGGGACGAGAGAGGAAAGCCAGGGGAATATATGATTGTCATGTACAAGATACTCCGAAGGAAGGATGGTTGACAGATAAATACAGAGAAAAACACTCACATTAAATATTGTAAATGTGTGTGTGCAGTTGGGGCATTCACTTAATTGTGGTTGCAGGGGTCGATTCTCAGATCCTGCCAATTTTATTCATTCCCTCTTAGCCTCGTGGCTCCTATCATACATGCTCTGAAAACTATGTATGGCGCCTGCCTCCACCAAATTCATTCCACTTCCTGACCACACTGAGACGAAACAAAATATTTCCTAACATCCCTGTGTTTAACTTTCAGATGCGTCCCAGAGTTCCTATTTCTCCCTTCTCAAACAGCTTATCCCAGTCTACCTTATCAATTCCCCTGAGTATTTTGTGTGTTATCATGCCCTTTCCTCCCCTAGTTCTTCTATCCTTTAATGTCATTAGGTCCAGTTCCATTAGCCTCTTCTCGTAGATCATGCCTCTTAGTTCAGGAACAAGCCTTGATACATTCTTCTGCACTTTCTCTGGTTTCAAAACATACTTTTCAGGTACGGGCTCCATACTGGTGTTGCATACTCCAAGATGGGCCTGACATGTTTTCTAATAAAGCCCCGGAATAACTTTTTCTTAAGGTTTCTGAAGGCTACTCATAGACTTGCCAGACAAGCATTAGCTGCAGAGGTTATCAGACTGATGTGAGTCTATGCTCACTCCTAGGTCCTTATCTTTGAGTGAAGTCAGCATCTGACAACTCCCTCTAATTTGTACCTCGTTTCCGGTCTCCTTGCTCCTTCACCAGTCTTCATTACGTTGCACTTTCTGGGGATGAATTCAAGAAACATATTATCGGACCACTCTTGCAATTTGTCCCAATTCTTATGGGGCCTTTGCCTGTCCTTATTAATTTTATATCACCATCAAAGAGACATATATCTGAATCAATTCAGTCTGGAATGTCATTTACATAAACCAGAAACAGTACTGGTCCTAATACCGATCCTTACGGAACCCCACTAGTTACTCTTCCCATTCTGACATTTCTTTCCTGAAAGATACTCTTTGATCCACCGGAGAGAGAGAGAGAGAGAGAGAGAGAGAGAGAGAGAGAGAGAGAGAGAGAGAGAGAGAGTACTTACCCATTTGTGGTTGCAGGAGTCAAGTCACAGCTCCTGGCCCAGCCTCTTCGCTGATCGCGAGTGTGTATCAGCTTAATCAGAAAATCAAATTTTCTAAACATTCAATCTGTTTTTATCCCTATTCTGTGCTTGTTCATCACAATACTGAGAAATATTTGGCACTGTTGAAAATTTAAATAAAATTTAATTACCATTCAATTCGATCTTTTTGACAAAATTTTTTTCTTCAGTTTAATTTTAGATGCAATATATAATTATATTATGTATGTCGTGATAAGAAAAACTTGCGATTTTGCCTTAAATAGCAACGTTCTTCTTGTCGAATAAGCCAAGCGAAAATTTGTGTATGCAATATTTCGCAAAAATCATTCTGAACCTAACGAAAAAAATATATTTCATTCTGTTTGTTATTAAGTTATTGTAAGCCTATCTAAAATATTTAGCGGAAATTAGCTTAAATTAAATTGCGCTGGTATAATAGGTTAGGCAAGTTTTCTATGGTTCTTTTGCTACAAAATTATTAATTTTTACATGAACATAAATGAAAAAAAATATATCTTTAAACGTATAAGAAAAAGTGTTAGAAATACATTTTAAACGAGTTCTTGTAATTGAACAATTTTACCTTTCGGCATATATATTTTTATTATATTATATATATATATATATATATATATATATATATATATATATATATAATATATATTATAAACAGCTTGATGAAGAGGTAGACTTCTCCAACTTTTTGGATTATATATATATATATATATATATACTGCTTATGGGGTTTCTCTTTAGAAGTGTGAATAAATCTCAGATGCATATGAAAGCTTTACCCAAACAGTAGTCTTTCAGTGTCTAGGGCATTAAAGGTAACGCTTACCTACACATTTGGAATAATTTTGTACATCGGAAAAAAAGTATTCCACTTGATGGTTTTTGTGGTCATGAAAACAAGTATGACCATGAGAACAATTAACTTCCTACAATGGCATATTGTGTATTTGGATCAAGAGCCTTTAACCTGTACAATTTATTTACCCTCCTCCATTCCCAGGTCTGAGTCCATAAATAAATTGCAAATTGGCTCTTATAAATAAGAGCCAATTTGCAATTTTAAAGCATCATTTCCATATTCATGATCCAAAATTGATATAAAACGAGTGGCTTTAAACATTTTTGTTGTAGACCAAAGTAAACAAGCTTGAATGAAGAAGGATAGGACTTCTCCAACTTTTTGGATTAAAAGCCTTAGTAGGTATCGATTTTCTCGAAGGGTTACTGGTTCAAAGAATACTTCTTGTCAGCAACACCATCTCTGACATTATAAATGGCATGTGGTGAAGAGGGATTGGATGCGAGACAGACTTCTCTCTGCCTGACACTGCAGACTCGCATGCATTTCATCTTCCCCTTCTACTTTGCAACATACTCTTGTTTGTTCAGAATCTGACAGTTATTGTCTGTCAGATGTCAGCCGCCTGTGTTGCCCCATCTTCCCGGGTCCGTGTTGACTGATATATATTCCCGAAACTTGGGTTTCATTTTTCAGAAACTGATGGGAAATATAATTTGCGTAGTATATTAATTAGCTTTTATACAAAACTAATATTGTACATATTTGGACCCGAAATTTTAAAAGAATATAGTCTCAACTTTAGCTTACGATATTTCGATTGGAAGTATTAGATTCCATTTTAAATGGGTAATTAATTTATAGTTCCATTGTTCTTTATTGATCATAGGATCTTCATTCGTGTTCTATATTGTTCCTACAGTAATTTGTTGCGTTTGGTTCATGTTCTATTTTCCTGCACACGTTCCTCGCCTTTTCTCTATTCCCTTCCCAGAAGAAATGATTAATTCTTTGTGTCACTACCTACAGGCCGAGAGTGAGAATCTAGTGGAATACACCCCTGTCAACGACTCAGACGGACTAGAAACCTCACGCCTCGGGCTGCGCTTCACTGTGGGTCCTCGACACTTTCCTTCAGGAGAGCTTCGTCTCCGGTAAGTCTAAGCCGGACTGAGGCTTAGACTTGGATTACGTAATTATTGCTCGGGTTTTAAATCCTTCAGGTTTGACTTTGAACACCATTAGAACTACCGCTACCACATACATTAGTACCTACAGCTGGGTCCTCAGGTTATGTATATTGCTTACAATAATGAGCAAATTAACTGAGACAGGAGTAAAGTTTGTGATTATCTCATATGTCTTAGTCTCCAGCTTAACGTAGTTTGGGTTCTTTTCTTTTCAGAAGAGCTTGCTACCAACTTCAGCTGCGGTGTTACCCTGCGACTTTCGTCAGTGCTACATCAGCGATTGTTCTGTAAGGCTATTATTTCAAGTGTGCTCCGTGAGTGAATGTGGTTTCACCAAATTACTGCTGAAATTTAAGATGGGTGTTAAATCTAGGAAGCGTGCAAGTATTAGAAGACATACTGATTTGACTATCACACAGATCGCCGAAAATTCGAGCCTTGCAAAGTCAACTGTAGTTCGGATTCTGAAGAAAGCTGACGACACTGGTGATTGTGGAGCATTGCATCGAGGAAGATGATGAAGAAAACGCAAGACAACACCTCACGATGACAAGGTTATGATAACAGTGCTAAGGATACCAAGAAAACAAGCAAAGATCAACAGAGAGATTTGGCTTCAGCTGGCGTAAATATTGATTCTTCAACTGTTCGACGAAGGCCCTTTGAAGTTGGCAGAACTGCGAGAAAGCCGGCAAAGAAACAATTACTGACTGCTGCTATGAAGAAAAAACGGCTGCAGTGGACACTTGATCATAAGGGATGGACGACAAATGAATGGAGAAAATTTGTATTTTCAGATGTGGCGTATTTTGAAGTACGTGGGCACAGATCAGTGGTACTGAGACGGAGCAAAGGCAAACCTCTTCGGAATGGACACATTCATCAAGAGCCAAAACAACCACCTACGATATTTAGGGGTAATTTTATTGATAAAGCCCGGGACGGCTTGTTATTGTTTAGGGAACGATGAACAGTGACCAAATACAAGGCAATCCTGGCAGCTCATTTGCTTCCCATTATGGACAGACTTTCCTGATGGAGAAGGCATTTTTCATCAGGCTCTTGCTCCATGCCACGCTTCCAGAAAAATGCTGACAGTCTTCGAAGAGAGTGAGCTAAGCGTCCTAAATTGGCTCTGAAACTCTCCTGACCTCAATCCATGGGCAATAACCAAACGCAGGATCGCGAAACAGGACTGTTCAACTATGGAGAAGCTAACTGCTGCTATTATTAGGATCTGGTACCACGACGAAGAACTTGCCAAAATGTGTAAAACATTGGTTGATTCTTTGCCAAAGCGTGTAGCAATTCTTATAAAAGCAGAGAATAGACATCTCTCTTATTAAATCAATTATCTGTCATATCATGACCGTGTATTTTTCAAATAAACCTTAATTTTCCAGATACGTCCCAATTAATAAGCACACTACTGTTGATAGGTAGAACAACCGATCCGACCTTCACATTACACAGTACAATTATACTGGTTGATGACATTAAAGTACGGACGTTGTCCCTGGTGACGCCGATCAAAGGAAGATAGAATGGTGATTATCATGAACTTGAACTGATGGGTGGACACAGTGGTGACTAACAGATTCAGTTGCAGAAATTGAGTAGCTTTAATTCAATCATTTTCTTCGCACGAGGAAATTTATGAAAAACTACCAAATTCTGGGTTATTTAGAAGTGTGAGAGAGGGCTTTAAATGCAAGCAGGTCTTTGGGAAGAGCAGTTGTGTTGTACAGTGTTGCAGGGAGAATGGTTGTGTTGTACATTGTTGCGGGGAGAGTGATTGTGTTGTACAGTGTTTCGGAGAGAGTGGTAGTGTTGTACAGTGTTGCGAGGAGAGTGGTAGTGTTGTACAGTGTTGCGGGGAGAGTGGTTGTGTTGTACAGTGTTGCAGGGAGTGGTAGTGTACTTGTTAGGGCGTTTGTTTGTTCATTAATATCTAAGTATTCTGCCTTGTCCTCTATGCTCTTCATTATATCAACTCCAGGTTTCTTTCTTTCAGTTTAGAGGTAGCAAACATTATTATATATTTACAAACACACAGGCTAGCTAAGTCGCGCTCATACACATGTACGTACACACACACACACACACACACACAAATGGTAACACACAAACACACACACACACACACACACACACACACACACACACACACACACACACACACACACAACTTCTCGATGGATGGTTCTATGAGAGATGACCAATGGGAAAAAAAGTGAGTGGTGCACTGAGCCATCTGTGGAGACAGAATTTTATTCACAGAGGAAACAAAGGGAATATACAAAAGTACAGTGGTACCAACACTGTTGTATGGGTGTGAAGCATGTGTTTTGAATGTTGCACAGTGAGGAGGAGGCTGGAGGCAGTGGAGATGTCATGTCTGAGGGGGAATGTGTGATTTAAATGTTATGCAGAGAATTCGGAGTTTGAATATTAAAAGGTATGGAGTTACCCAAAGTATTATTCAGAGGGCTGAGGAGAGGTTGTTGAGGTAGTTTGGATATTCAGAGAGGATGAAACAAAACAGGATGACCTGAGGTGTGTTGTTATGTTGCCGTTTCTTAACCATAGTTTAGGCATACCTATGGCAAGGCAGTGATGAAGTGAATGATGATGAAAGTGTTTCTTCTTTTTCTGGTCACCCTGCCTTGGTGGGAGATGGCCTATGTGTTAATAAAAAAAAAAACATAAAATACATCAAGGGTGGAGGGATGGAGGAGTAGGGAAAAGGCTGGAGGGAGGAGGTGGTAAAGGAGGTTTCGAGTGCTACGGGCTTAAATATCCAACAGGCTTGTTTGAGCGTGTTAGGATAAGTGGAGGCGAGTGTCTTAAAATTTCACGTGCTGTTTTGAGGAGCAAATAACATTTGAAGGGATTCAGGGGGAACCATTACTGAACTTGAGTCCGGAGGTGGATATACGTGCCCCCTCTGAAGCGGGGGGGATACCGGGGAGGGTTTCGGGGGGCAACGCCCCCGCGGCCCGGACTGACACTAGGGGCCTCGGAGTTCGATTTTCATCATCTGAGCATAATGTCACGAACTTTGGCAAGACAGTGATTTAAAAAGTGACGGTAAGGTTTACTTTTGCCCCGTCACCCTACCGGGGAAACAGCCCGGGGTGTTTTTAAAAAAAATAAAAGTCTTTTCCCGGTCGTCTGAATTCCGAAATTTGAGTCGTTTGGCGTAAACGTTGTTTTTTTTTCTTTGAGGTAATAGTAAACCCCCATCAGCATAGCTTCTCGTATCATACCATAACAAAAATACTGTAAACTCAAACACTGTAACTTCTTCGTTTTTTGTCTCAGAAATATTTTTATTCATATATGCTTTTCAAAAAAATATTCAAAGGGGGCAAAAATTTTGTCACCACCATAAAATGGAGACAGAAACCTCGACATGTCAATTTAGAAATGGACTCAAATTTTCATTGCTGTAAACCCAAAATTTCTTTTAAAATCAGTAACTATTGTTTAACTCTGACTATTTCGAGTCTCAAAATTTAAGCCTCCATCAATGTCGCAAATTCAACAACAAAAAAATAAAAGCTCATTTCTGTGGTGGTAATAAAGCCAAAACAACGAAAGTTGGTTCAGTACTTACCGAGTTATGAAGGCGTGAAGCTGAAGGTAGTTTTGAAGGTCGTTGACCCCATGACGGGGGTCATGGGAATCAACGCCACATATTAAAACATTCTGCATATTTTTTTCACTTTTTTTTCTCTCTCGTTTTCCCGATTTTTTTTATTTCCACACAAGAACAATGGGCTAGAACTTTCACTGCATGCCCAATGTCTTTTTAGTTAAGTCTTATTATAAATCAAAACAGTCAAACTACATGTGTCACCATTATATTTTTTCACGCGCACTGATCCATACAAAAGTATTCATACACTAGTCCATTTGTTTCGCTTTCCACTGTTCTAACATATTCACACACATATATAGGCAATGGTCATGTTCCTAGACCTGCTGCAGTCTGTGGAAGTCCATGAAGCACAGCTCTATACACAGCAGTTTCTTCATTCCCTACACGTTCTATATAAACAAGTGTCTCTAGTTGGTCGCTTTGACATATGAGTGCATCTTTTCTGACCCCATTTGTTAGCTACAAGCAGCACAGCTAGAAAGTGACCAGCATACCTCAAACGAGAGGGTATTTAGTCATCAGTACAACGATGCATGTGTTGTGCTATTACTTGCCTTAAAATAATCTAGGCCATTGAGGTACATAACTCACTTCGATGATGAGCCTGTATACCGACCATAATAAAAGAGTTAATTTACAATTTAAAATTATGTGCCCATGGGGATTTGCAACATTTAAACTTCAAGATTTATAAAAATGGTTATTCTACGTCTAGGTCTACGTCTACGTTTAGAGCGGAAAAGTAATGTGAAGGACCTGGGTGTGGTAATGTCCGAAGACCTCACCTTCAAGCACCACAACAATGCCACTATCACATCTGCGAGGAAACTGATAGGATGGATAATGAGAACATTCAAGACAATAGATGCTAAGCCAATGATGATCCTTTTTAAATCACTTGTTCTCTCTAGGCTGGAATACTGCTGTACATTAACATCCCCATTCAAAGCAGGTGAAATTGCAGATCTAGAGAATGTACAGAGAACCTTTACTGCACGTATAAGTTCCATCAAACACCTTAACTACTGGGAACGCCTGGAAGCACTTGACTTGTACTTACTGGAGCGCAGGCGAAAGAGATGTATCATAATCTACACCTGGAAGATTCTGGAAGGACTGGTCCCTAATATACACACAGAAATCACTCCATACGAAACCAAAAGACTTGGCAGACGATGCAACATACCCCCAACGAAAAGTAGGGGCGTCAATGGTACTCTAAGAGAAAACAGAGTAAGTGTCCGGGGCCCAAGACTGTTCAACAGCCTCCCACCAGCAATAAGGGGCATTACCAGTAGAC